GTTGTTGTTAGTAATCCTTTGTGCCCAAATTTTGTGTTAGACGATGTAGAAAATGAAATATTATTGAAGCCTTTTAAGAGAATGGTGGTGGTAAAGTTGATTGGGTAGGAGGTTCATTTGGCTCTACTGATTCAAATTTTGAGGCAGACTTGGGCATATAATGGGTAGATTAGGGTGACTGACTTGATAAATGATTTTTACCTTATGAAGTTTTAAAGATAAGAGGATTATGATCTAGCTCTTACCGGTGGTCCATGGATAGTGCTTGACAACTATTTAAGTGTTATGCAATGGAGGCTTGATTTTGATCCAAAGAAAGAAGTGATTGATCAAGTTGTTGCTTGGGTAAGGCTTTTTAGTCTTCCTGTTACTCATTAAATGTTCATATGGCTTTAAGGAGGAGAGGGAAGTTTGCTAGATTATGTGTGGAATTGGATTTAACTAAACCTTTATTACCTGAATATAGTATCGAAGGGGTGGTTAAATCAATTGAGTATGAATGTATGAGTTTTCTTTGCTTATATTGTAGCAAGTGTGGTCATGTTTGGGTGGATTGTGAGGAGTTGAAGAAGACTAAAGCAGAGAAAGTGACTATGGGGGAATATGAGAGAGTGGATAATGTGGAGGTAAACTAGAGGAATGATTTGAAGATGGTTGAGGAAGAAAGGTCGAGGAAGGTTGTTCAGCGACCTAAATGATCGTGGAAGAGCAAGTTGGAAAGGGAAATTTTAATAGTTGGAAACAAATTTGCAAACCTTAGAAATAAGGATATGGGTATGGTAAAACTTTCAAGGAAACCTCTGAAGGATGTCTTAAATGGTATTTAATTTGAGGATAGTAGTGTGAGAATTAATTGAAGGGTTGGAAAGGAGCCAATGAAAGTTGTTAACCCAGTTGTGGTACCAAGGGTGAGATGTCCTGTGTTAAAGATAAATGAGATGGTTGAGGATAATATGTTAATGAATAAACCTACTATAAAAAAATTTTGTGGAAGCTCCTGAAAGATTTTAATTATATTCAGGGGTTGATATGATGACATATGAGGAAAAAGATGAGGGAAGTTTGAATAGTGATATGGTGAAGGATAAGAAGGAGGATGATGTTGATGAGGATATTGAGCTGAGTGGGGATGATAGTGAAATGATGTGTCATGAAGACATGGTTAATGGTGGCAAATTTTAGTTTGCTAATTACTACTGTGTTTGAGTTGTGATGAAAGTCCTTGTATGAAATTGTAGAGGGGCGGCTAAAAAGTGTTTTGCTAGGTCGTTTAAGAGTTTGTGTAAAAAAAAATAGACTAGATTTAGTTGTGTTGTTGGAGCCCTGGGTCAGTAGGGTGACTGTTAGAAGAATATTTAGGATTTGGGTTTCCAAGTTGCCTTGTTATAAGAGGCTAATGGTTTTGCTGGTGGAATTTGAAGGATAATAGTATTAAAGTGGCGGAGGTTATGATTCATAAGTAGTTTATACACTATAAAGTTAATGATGATTGGATGTTTAGAACTATGTATATTAATCAACATGAGCATAAAAGGGGTGATATGTGGGAAGTAATTGGAAATATTGTTGGAAATATGAGGAAAAAGTAGCTATTAGTGAGTGATTTTAATGATATTGCATCACCAATTGAATATAGAGAGGACGTACAAGTTAATATGGCTAGATATGATCGTTTTAAAATGAATTAATGATAATGGGTTGATTGATATGTACGTAAAGGGAATTTTTTCACCTGGGTTGGTCCAAAATGGTAGGGTATAGATCATTTGTTTAAAAGATTAAATAGGAGATTGTGTAATGATTTATGGTAGGAAAATTTTTGTGATATTGAGATCAAAGTGTTGATGAGGTTAGGTTCTAATCATCATCATCTGTTCATCAACACAAAACTAAAATAGAGAAGTAAGTAGGTACAGCCTTTTCATTTTGAGGGAACTTGGTTGCTTCATAAGAATTTTAAGAACTTTCTTAGTTTAAATTAGAGGAGTTTTTTTTTAGACTCTTATTACATTAAATGTGTTACAAGGTGATTCGAAGGTTTTGAATAAGAAGGTTTTTGGAAGAATTGATGTGCATATCAAAGGATTAAAGAAGAAATTATATGAGATACAAATTCAAATGGAAAGGAGGGAGGAGGTAAGGTTGTTAAATTTGGAGAAGGAGGTGCAGCAAGAATTGAATGAGGTTTTGGCTCAAGAGGAGGTAATCTGGTATAAAAAATCAAGGGGTAAGTGGATTGAATAAAAGGATAGGAATACTAGATATTACCATATGAAGATAATGGTGAGAAGAAGGAGAAATAAGTTGAGTATGTTGAAAAACAGTGATGGTCTTTGGGTTAATGAGGTAGAAGAGGTGGAAAAATTAGTTCAAGATTTCTATGAGAATATGTATTTTGAGGAGATTTGGTTTAAAACTTGGCATGTCACTAGACAAGGATGGGGTGGTGTATTTGATGATGAATTAAGAAGAATAGGAAGGTCATTGGCTAGAGATAAGATTCGAAGAGATTTCTTTGATATGGTGGTTTTAGGGCACCAGGAGAAGATAGTTTCCTAACTATCTTTTATCTGCATAATTAGGAAATTGTAGGGCCAAATGTGGAAAAAATAGTCATGGAAATGTGGAAGAATCCTATAAAGATTGCATAAATTAGTAAGACATTGATTATTATGATTCCAAAGGTTGAAAATCTAGAGGTAGTTGCTTAGTTTCAACCTATTTCACTTTGTAATGTTCTTTACAAGGCCATTACTAATATTGTGATAAAAAAATTGACAGTTGTTATGGATAAGGTTGTTTCTCCTTTTCAAGCAAGTTTTGTGCCAGGGAGGAATATCTAGGATAACATTGTGATTGCTAAAGAAATAGTTCATGTGATGAATAGAATGAGTAGTGTAAAGATTTTTATGGCCATCAAAATAGATTTAGAAAAAGACTTATGATAAGATGAATTGGCTTTTTCTTATTAAAGTGTTGATTGAAATTAATATTTCCACGAATATCATAAAAATAATAAAAGCATGTACTAATACAATGTCGATGTTTGTGTTGTGGAATGTTGTTAGAAGAGAGGAATTTATGCTTTTGAAGGGGGCTAGCAGGGAGATTCTTTATCTCCATATTTGTTTGTACTTGAGATGGAAAAGTTGTCACATTTAATATTTGATTCCATTAATCAAAATGAATGGATGTTATTGAAAGTTAGGAGAAATGAGGTGTAAATTTCTTATCTGATGTTTGCAGATGATCTTCTATTATTTTGTAAAGCTAGTGTTGAGCAAATGTGTACATATTTTTGCCAATACTATCCCTTTCAAAGCGGTATTTGATAGAGACCTGCCTCCACTTTATCCTTTCATAAGGGTGAAACTTACATTGCCGAGCTTGTTGATCAATTGAAAACTAAAGAACATATGCTGTAGCTTTTCAAGGATAATTTTTAAAAAGCTAAAAATCGAATAAAGATATATATAGACCACAATCGACAAGCGCTTTCTTTTGAGGAAGGGGATGTTTTTTTTTCTTAAGGATATAGCCTTTTAAGTAGTGTTCGATATCCCATAAGAAGTATGACAAGCTCTCACCTCAATTTTTCAGACCTTACACCGTCATTTATTAGATCAATGGCCTATAAGTTGTAACTACTCTCAACAGCTAAAATTCATCTGGTCTTTCATGTCTTATTATTGCGACCAGCTCATGGGATGCCCCCTCTTGATCCTCCAATAGATTTACCATTGTCCTTTAATTTTAAGCTAATTTTAGAACTTGAGACTATTCTCTCTCATCATTGGAAAGGACCCCCTTAGAGCTGTTAATCAAATGGGAGTCTAGACCTGAGAAAGAATTAAGTTGGAAAGATTATGATTTATTTGCACAACACTTTCCCCATTTTTGCCTTGAGGACAAGTTGTTTTTTCAGGGAGAAGTAATGATAAGAGTCCAAGTCAGCATAATAGGCCATTAATAACTTATCAAGGAAAAAAGAGCAGGAAGATAACAAAAACTAATGATGTTATGTAGATTATGAGAGACTTATATGATTTAAATTAATTATTTGATTATTTGCTGTTTCGTTTTTGCTGTTAGTTGCTGACTAATAGGACCTCAGCTTTGTTAGTGAGGTACCAACATACCATTCAGTTATTTTCTAATTTTTAGGCAATTATTTTGCATTATTGGATTCATTTAATTATAATTTCTAATTATAAATATCCTAGCTTCTGTAACAACAGGATATGAATGAGAAATAAAGACTACTTTTCTTTGAAGATTCTCCTATTTGGCTATTGAGTTTATTAGAGTGTGATTCTTGCTCTAATTAATTTAATAAATTTTTCCTCTTTGTTTGAATCTATCCTTAGCCTCTATCAGTGTAGGCTCCACTCACATGTCACATTAGTAGAAAGCAGCAAAAGTTAACGGTCTCTCAGTAGAAGGGCATCAAAAAAATATTTCAAAAAAAAAATTACCTCACTTAAAAATATGGGGTGTTTAACATTTCTAAAGAATAAATATAAAGATAAAATTAAACTTTAATTCTTTAAAATATTGTAAGTTTCAATTGACTATTTTAAATACAAAATTTTTTTTTATTATAGTTGAGGAAATGAATTTTCAAGAGTTTTTCAAATAAATTTTTAAAATGTGCTTTGTAAAAAAAAAAAAATTAAAGTACCAAACAGCTTTGATTTTTTAATATTCAATGAAAGCCCTTTCTAAATATTAGAAGTTGGAAAAACAGACGAACCCTCCGACTCCTGGGTCTGGGTGGTTTCCTGGCCAGTTCTATTCTTGAGTTCTGATTGTAGGTCTCCTTCCTCCCCCCCCCCCCCCAAAAAAAAATTTTATTCTTGAGTTCTGATTGTAGGTCTCCTTCCTTCCCCCCCCCAAAAAAAAAAAAAATTCCCCTTTTATTTTATTCTTTTCTTTACCATGATGATTAAATGAATAATAACTGTCCATTTGAAGCCCACGAGACTGCAGTGGCTTCTCTCTGTCAGATCGGCTCCTTTTCACCAGATTTGAAGCTTCGAACTCAAGTGCTGGTCAAATAAATAAGCTTGAACTTACGTCTTAATCAAGAATTAATAAATTACCCGGAATTGGTGCCTGTTGGACGCGCTCATGTCCGATAATCCTTCTCGAATTTTCTAAATTGAAAACCCCATTACCCTCTCCCCTTGACCGAAAAAGCTCCTTTCCAAGTCTGTCCGCCATAAAAGCCTCCTTCTTGTTTCCTAGCTTAGATCCCATTGGTCGAGGGAGAAATGGGCGGCCTTCCTCGGCTGTTCCTGGTAATCATATTCGGTGCCGCCGCCGCATCATGGGTGGTGGAGGCTCAGCCACAGGCGAGATTCAAATGCAGCTCGGAAGGCAAAACATGTCGTTCCCTTGTGGATTACTCGTCCCCAAATGAAACCACTTTAGGCCACATTCAAAAGCTCTTCAACTTGAAGCACGTTCTGGACATAGTGGGCGCTAACGCCTTCCCCTCGACCACCCGAGGCAACCGCACCGTCGGCAAGGGTCAAATTATTAAAATTCCCTTTCAGTGCCGGTGCGCCAACGGCACCGGCTTGTCCAACAAGACGCCTCTCTATACCATCCGGAAAGATGACACGCTTTCCCACATAGCCATGGGGGTGTTCTCGGGTTTGGTCACTTACCAGCAGCTCCAAGCGCTCAACAACATACCCGACGCTACGCTAATTCAGCCCGGCCAGAAGGTGTGGATCCCTCTCCCCTGCAGCTGCGATCAGGTGGACGCCACGGATGCCGTCCACTATGGACATCTCGTGGCTCGCGGCAGCTCCTTTCAGCAGATTGCTTTACAGTACGGCACCACCCAGGACGCCCTTCTCGATCTCAACAACATTTCTGATCCCAAGTCCCTTCAAGCCGGTCAAATAATCGATGTTCCTCTCAAAGGTTTCCCCATTCTTCGATTTTGTTCTTTCACGAGCACAATCATCTTGCATACTGTCATGGAATTTCACTTCTTAAATCATGTTGAATTGGCACAGCCCATAAACCTTTGGGTGTTGTGGTTTGTTTTGTTTACTTCTGTTCGCTTCTCATTCACTCAAGTTGCCTGCCATAATTGAACTTCACCTCCACAAAGTCGAGGTGGGAGTAAAATTTCTGCCATCCACGTACCTCCCTCACTACCAATGGAAGAAATAAAATGGTTATGCGGAAGGGGATAGCTATGAGCGATTGGGAAAAAAAAAAAAAAGGTTAAACTTATTGGGCTATCATGGTGGTGACGGGGGGTATGCATGATGTAGTGAGTGATTGAGCGTGTGTTGTTGTGATGCAGCTTGTTCCTCCTCGACGGTGAAAAATGACTCCTTGGACTATCCTCTGCTCGTTGCAAAAGGCATGGACACCTACACTGCCAATGGTTGCGTCAAGTGCAGCTGTAACAACGCCGCCGATAACGCCACGTCAGTGTCTTCTCTCAACTGTAACGCCCTTTTCTGTTTTTGCTGTTTTGATTAATAATAGATGGTTTGTGCGGTTAGATTACAATGCGAGCCATCCCAAGTTAAGCCATATAAATGGGATACATGCCCGTCTATGCTATGCGGCAATTCAACCATTGGCAACGTCACTTCTGCAGCTTCCTGCACTCGCACCATCTGTGCTTACGCTGGTTATAACAACCAGACTATTTCCACTGCTCTTTCCAACGAGTCCACTTGTTCTGGTTAGTGCCACTCCTATTACCAATTCTTCTTAACCTCTTGCCACTTACCACCGGCTAATAATATGCCTGTGTGTTTCCAATGGTTGTCAAACAGCACCAACAGGATCAGGAGCGTCGAGAAACAGCTTGCAAGGATGGGGTTGGAATCATCTTTTGATGCCTCTTTATTTTCTTTTCTGTCTATCTTTTCTAGTGAATTCAAATGCCACGTGTCCGTAGTTCTGATGGGCTAATCCAATAATCCATTACCCGTCCATCCTGTTTCTTTATGAATTCTGAATTTTGATGGAGCATGTAATCATTTGTGTTTGATTGTAGCAGAAGTAATAAAAGAACCGTTGTGTTTCAATTTCACATTGATGCAACTCGTTTGTTGCAACGGCTTTTAGCTTGTTTTCCGGATCTGGAATGTTCTTGCGTGTAATGTGTGTCTGTTTTCACTTTAAATCAGGCTGTTCTACAATTGATAGCTTTCCACTTTACCTTGTTTATTTGTGCTGCATATTTTGTATTGATTGGGCAGGATTTTTGTCGGGGAGACTTTGAGCTGTGTGTGATATGTTCTTGTGTTGTGTGAAGTGTTATCAGTCGTCTTTTGTGTCCTCATAAAGTGCATTAAGAGCACATTTGTACTTTCTTTGGCTCTTGAGGGCGTTTTTGGTTGTTTTAACTCTGGTCGGAAGAATCTAAAAGAGGGAAGAGATTTTGCCTCTTAAGGGATATCATAATTGCTGCTCTTGTGGAGGCCTGTGTTTGGTTCAGAGTTTATTACTCTTCTAAGCTCTAATATCAACCTGTGACGTAGTTGTTAAAGTTCATCTTTCGTATGATCCTGATTACCTCATGTTATTAATCTGCTTATCAGCATTCTGAAGATCTTATTCCCAGGATTCTGAAATAAAATAGCGATTTGAACTGCTCATTTGCCGGGATTGGCTTTTGAACACTCGCGTTTTTCTTTTCTTCCTTGTCTCTACAAGAGATCCTATGCCATTTCACTTGTTTTCTCCCCTTCTCTCTTTAGAGGGAGATTGGAAGTATTAAACGCAAGAGTTACTGTTGAGGCATGTTCAGATATTTCTCTCAAAATACTCTAAAGATCAAGTTCTTTGGACTTTTCAAATAATTAGGTGACTTGTGTGTATCATATGGTGTTTAAAGAAAACGTGGCAGGTGAGAAATGCAGTTTACTGTTATATAATATATTAATTACTTTCTTTTAAAATGTTAGATATTTTTTAATTAAATTTCACTCAAATAAAGTAGTTATTTACTTTTTAACTAATCTTATTTTTTTATATTTATCTTTATCAAACACCTCACAATAAATATAAAATTATTATCAATAGGATTATTTTTTTTTTAAAAAGGTAATGCTTACACCTTAAAAAATTAAAAATATTTTATATTTTTGAACATCTAATTTCTTAAAAAATATTTTATATTTTTAAATGGAGTGAATATTATATATTGAATCAAATGATTGCTGAGAAATTAATTTAGCTTTATTGTGTTTATTAGCAATTTTTAATTATCAATAACTTCACTCCATGAAAGATGTACTTTAGGAGTGATGATACCTTTGTAAGGACTAGACACGTCCAACGTAAAAGAAGAAGATGCATCTTAATGTATTAGAGATGATAAACGCTGGACGCTGATATAATTGTTTGTATATAAAGTATAAACCAAAGCGCGGGTGATTTAAAAAAGGTCTCACATTTCTTCTTGTTTTCCTTGCGGCCAACAAAAGTAGGACCTTCGAGTCCTATCTACGAAAATCACCATCAACTTGTTCAGATACAAAATACAAATTGGATCAACAAAAATGATGATACCAAGGGGCCCATGTTATTTGATGTTTAAAATGATGGTGACTGCGAATAATTTTCAATCCAACAAGAGAAAGCCCACAAGGGATGCCACCTTCTTATCTTACTTGGCGGATTCAGGTTCGGCGGTTGCCGAATCAGCCACCTCGACTTCGGACTGGAAGTTTCCGTCTCTGCCTCCGGCGACAATTCTGTCAAGTTCAATTCGCTTCAATGTACTTCCTATGTTCGCGAACGCCTTTCCCTCTTTTCGTCTCGCTGTAGTTTTTTAATATAAGCTTCAAAGCTTTACAGGTTTCATTTCAATTTTTATTATCTTCTTTCTCCCTTTTCGTATATCTGAACATCGCCTCTCCGCTTTTTCTATGTTTCGCTTTTTATATTTTTTGGATGAATCTTTTTGAGATAATTGTCCTTCTTCTCTGTCCCATTTCTGCATTAGCATAATTACTATTTTCCATTCCCGATATCAGTGTCAGTATTTTTCATAACGTGTTTTGAATTTGGAACTCAATTTGGTATATTGATTTTCTTCTTTTGTTGCCTGGAGCTTTTGAAGAATAACTACATCTGCAGGCCATGGAGTCTACCCATTTCTGCACTGGTTTTGTCTCTAATGGGTTATCTAAGAGGACCCGCACTTGCAACGCTTTAAATAAGTCGACAAGTACATATTCTTCCTTTCGGAGGGGTGAAGGTTGTGATTTTGTTGCGGTAAGCGATGGGAGGCCTTTACTGAACATTGAAGGCGTGGTGGGAGGTCACCGACTCTCCGCAAACAATACATCGTTGTGCTCCCCATTGATAACCCATCGTAGGAGACCCCGTTTTCCAGTGGTTGGCAATCAATTGAATTCTGATTTTGGTCTGGTTTCTGCTGATGTTGACGGCTCCTTGGCTTCAGAACAGGGGCATCTTCTGACAAATTCTGATGAAGGGACTGTGTAAGAGCTAACTTGTCAGTCTGTTCTGCTTTACTGGACATATACTCTCTGTTTAGGGAATACTGTTATTTTATGTCAATTTGCTCTACGCTTGTGATATTTTGTGAGGAGCAAAGGAAGTCCTCCACAACGACTCTCCCCTGCATGTGAAATGCCATTTTTTATGCTTTTTCCGAAAGTCCCTTGTGATATCGTGTCAATTGTAAAATACAAAATGGTTGATTGGGTGCTTGCTTTCATTCTGGAATATATATATACATACATATTTTGTGCAAGCATTTATTTTCCTTTCAGTGTTGTTACTTTAATGCTAGTTGTACTTTCGCCTCTACTTATTGACAGTCAGTTACCAGCAACTCCGATCAACCAACCACCTTGCACCGATGTCAAACGTGAGCTCCTGATGCTGTCTTTGCCTGCACTTGCTGGTCAGGCAATTGATCCTCTGGCACAGTTGATGGAGACAGCATATATTGGTCGACTGGGTAGAATTTATGCTTCCTATCTGAACAATTGTATGTTTTTTTCGTGTAGCTTTAATTGCATAATTTTCAATATTATCAGGCACTATGGAGTTGGCTTCTGCTGGTGTTTCCATATCCATATTCAACATCGTATCAAAGTTATTTAATATTCCTCTTCTTAGTGTTGCGACTTCTTTTGTGGCTGAGGACTTAGCTAAAAATGCTGATCAAGATTCTCCTTCAGGTGAATTTATGCTGAGAAGTTTCATAGATTATGTTTCTTTTTATTTGTAGTTGTTTTTTTTTTTTGGGCCAAATTTTATTCTAGTTGTCTTTCAATTATAACAAAAAAGGGTCGTCTGATGACATTAATTTGCTGTGTAGGGAATGCTGGTGTTGAAAGTAGTGGGAATGGCAAACCATTAGCTGTAATTCCCCAAAGAAAGCAACTACCCTCCGTGTCCACTGCTTTGTTATTAGCTTTATGGATTGGAATTTTTGAGGCTTTAGCTTTGTTTATGGGATCTGGAGCATTTCTACATCTAATGGGTGTGTCAAAAGTATGATTTTATCTTTACTCAAGACTGTTCTACCATTGAGGGTTTATCTTGTTTATTTTTGTTGGTCATACTGGGCTGTATTTTCTATAATGGGCTTGGAATTATATGCAACAGGCTTTTAGTTTTGAATATACTCTTGTTAGAAGTCTTGTCATTTGTCTATTGCATCTTCAAGGGGCACAAATCTGAATTCAACAGGGGACACCTTTTGTAAATATATAAATTTTTTGGATAAAATAAATTTTTAGCATATTCTTTTCAACAGAAAAATCCTATACACATTCCAGCACGGCAGTATCTCTCATTAAGAGCACTTGGTGCTCCAGCAGTTGTACTTTCTTTGGCTCTTCAAGGCGTTTTCCGTGGTTTTAAGGACACAAGGACTCCCGTTATATGCCTAGGCAAGTACTTGGTTTACAGTCATCCCTTTGCTGAATCAACCTGTGAATGACTTTCATAATTATCAAATTTATGTCTTATATGTGCTTGAATACTGTGTCGATATTAATCTTCTTCAAAAAACTCACATTTTTATTAGCCTTCTAAAGGTTTTCTTATTCTTGGGATTTAGGAATAAAATAGAAATAATAAGAATTGCACATTTGCTCTGTTGTACTATATGTTGCTTTTAGCACTAGCATATATTGCTTTTATCAGTGGAAGATGTTTTCTGCATTGTCTTTGTCTTGAAGAACGATCAGGCTTTTGCATTATTTCTTTGTATATGTGCACATGCTAACATATTTCCAAATGCAGGCATTGGGAATCTTTCAGCTGTCATTTTATTTCCCTTACTTATTCATTACTTTAAATTGGGTGTGACTGGCGCAGCCATTTCTACTGTTCTCTCCCAGTAGGTCTTTTTCAATGACATTTTTTTCTTGCACTATATTTCTTGGCTTATTTTAACCATAATTATGCTGGGAATTTGATATCTCAGATATATCGTGACTTTATTGATGATCTGGTGTCTGAATAAGCGAGCTGTATTATTACCTCCAAAGATGGGAGTGCTACAATTTGGTGGTTATATCAAGTCTGGTGAGTTATTGTCCCCTAACTTGGCTGTTGCCATGTTGTTTAGTTAGACATATTTGAAACCTCAGCTGAGAGCAGGGGTTTAGTTCTCTAAAACAAATCTTGTCTTCCAATGAAAAAAATAATAAAGGGAGAAGATAGCAAGCAAGAAGCCAAACGAGATGTTGGGAAACATTTTCAAAACAAATTTCAAGAACAAGTACCCCCTTGCAATTTTATGTCTTTCTGTTTGTTGCCTTAGTCTTAAGAAAATAGCACTATTTTAAACAAGTGTATTTCAAAGGATTTATTCTTGCTGATAAATTTCAGCCCTCTGATACAGTATAGTGTTATTTGTGCTCTTGTTACAATTTGTCAGAATATGAAATTGACTCAATATTTTCTGTTTTTCATTATATTATGATGTGTATAGTGAAGAGAAGAACGGTGAAGAATAGGGGGAGAGAGAAGAGTACAGAGAAGAATTGAGGGATAGAGAAGAGATTCTGGATTTCCATAAGCATAAGAGAATTAAGTACATCACAGCCCTTTATATAGGATTAATCTAGTCAGACCCTTAGGCTAAAACAACTAACGACTTATTCCTCTATTTATTTTGATTACACATCAATTCCCCCCCCCAAAAAAAAAAAAAAAAGAACCCTTGTCCTCAAGGGTCAGAAATTACAAAAGAAGGGTACTGCTTATGTGGCTGGAATAAAGAAACCCTGCTTGCTTCTTCATCAGCAAGACCTTTCCACTGCACCAGAACCACAGTAATAATTCTCCCCTTTCATCTTCCCATTCTTTTATTCAAAATCTTTTCTGGAATAAGATTTGGAGGAGGCTCAGGCCAATTCACAGGTGGATGCTGTTGCTTCACATATGGATCAGGGTAGAGCTTGAGAAAAGTTGGATGTACTCTAGATTCTGGAGGTAACTCCAACTTGTTCACCACTGGACCTATTCTTTTACAGATTCTATAGGGGCCAAAGTACCTTGGAGCTAATTTTTGAGAGCTCCTTGATGCTGCAGAAAGTTGGCGATAAGGTTGCAGCATTACAAACACCCACTTTCCTTCGTCAAATTCTCTATCACTTACTCCTATGTAGGTCTGCCTTTTATTTCATTCTATTGACAGCCCTATTGAGATGATACTTTGCCATCCCTAGAGCTTCTTCTCTTGCTGCAAATGTTCTATTAACAACTTCTACAGTCATATCTCTAGGTAAATAGGGAATATGTATAGGAGGAGCCTGCCCATACAGCAATTCATAAGGAGTAGTTTTTGTAGAAGTGTGGTAAGAAGTGTTATACCACCACTCTGCCGGGGAAAGCCATTTATGCCACTCTATAGGTTTTACCTAGCACATACACCTCAAGTAATTTTCCAAGCAGTGATTGAGCACTTTTGTTTGCCCATTCGTTTATGGATGATAAGAGGAAGTAAGCTTCTATTCAACCCCCAAAACCTTTAAAAATTCTTTTCAAAAATTACTGATAAAGAGGGGGTCTCTATCACTACTAATGTCAGCTGGAGCTCCATGGAGTGTGTAAATATGATCAAGGAATTGCTGTGCTAAGGTAGATGCTATAAAAGGGTGAGATAGTGGCAGAAAATGTGCATACTTGCTAAAACGATCAATAATTACCCAAATTATGTCCTTGCCATATGACTCAGGTAATCCTTCAATAAAATCCATGGTGACACTTTCTCAAACCTTGGAGGCTGTAGTAATCCAGGATAAGCCACTAATTTAGATTTACACCGAGCACATGTATCACAATGCTTCACAAAATCTTTAATATCCTCAAATAATTTCTGCAACCAAAACAGTTTCTTGACCCTTTGATGAGTAGCTTGCACACCATAATGTCCTCCTTGTGGACTAGCATGGAGCCATTACAAGATTGTATGCCTCACACTTGGAATATTTCCCACAACTGGCTTGCCATTTTTCCTCAAGAACTCACCATCCCATGTGTATTTTCCTTTTGCACCTTCATGCTGTTGCAAATGAGCCTTAAAAGCTCTTAACTCCATGTCATCATCCCAACTCTTTTGAATTTCCAGAAAAAGGAAATCTGAACAGGTATGAAGAGAAACTTGACAAACCTCATTTTTAGGCATCCTAGAAAGAGCATCAGCTGCACTATTGTCATTGCCCTTTTTGTAATGTATTTCATAATTATAACCCATGAGCTTAGTCACCCAAAACATTTGGAATGCTTTCTTTAATATCTGATCTGGCAAATATTTGAGACTTTGCTGATCAGTTTTGAAAATAAAGTGCCTCCCTTGAAGATATTGGTGCCAATGCTCCACGGCTTGCACCGCTCCAAGTAAATCTTTCTCATAGATAGAAAGATTCAGGTGATGAGGGGCTAAGGCCTTGCTGGAAAAGGCTATAAGTGGACCCTCTTGCATTAGAACAGCCCCAATTTCAGAATTGTAAGCGTTTGTTTCAACCACAAACTCCTTAGAAACGTTTGGAAGAGCAAGGACAGATGCTGCAATGAAAGTTTCATTTAATTTTCTGAAGGTGGCAGAGGCAATTTCTGATCAGTGAAAGTTCTTCTTCCTCAGTAAATCAGTGAGAGTTCTAGTTATGGTACCATAACCCCTAACAAACCTCCTATAGTAGCTTGCAAGTCCCAAAAATGACCTTAGTTGCTTTATAGTTGGTTTTGGTCATTCCATGACTGCCTTGATCTTCTTTGGGTCAGTTGAGACTATTCCTCCATTGATAATGTGTCCCAAGTGTTCCACTTGTGTTGCAGCAAAGGTACACTTGCTTTCCTTCACAAAAAAAACAATTTTTTCTCAGAATTTCCAGAACTAAATGCAAATGTTGTGTGTGAGATTCTACACAGGGACTATAGATTAGAATATCATCGAAAAAACTAAGACAAATTTCCTTAAATACTCCCTGAACATACTGTTCATGGCTCCCTGAAAAGTTGCAGGTGCATTAGTGAACCCAAAAGGCATCACTAACCACTCATAGTGGCCCAATGAGTGCGAAAAGCTGTTTTGTAGATGTCCTTGGGCTCCATTATGATCTGATGGTACCAGCCTGTAGATCCAGCTTAGTAAACCATTTAGCATCCTTTAATTCATCCAGAAGTTCTTCTACAACAGGAATAGGGTATTTATTCTTAACCATCCTATTGTTAAGTTCTCTATAATCGATGCACATGTACCACTACCCATGTTTCTTTTACACCAACACAACTGGTGAAGCAAATGGTGAATTGCTTTCTTGAATGACTTGTGATTGTAGTAGTTCCTTCATCATGTCTTCAAGAGTATTCTTTTGAGCTGTTGGATATCTATAGGTCTTAGATTGATTGGGTCAGACCCTTTTTGCAGAATAATAGGGTGGTTGTGACTCTCTCAAGGGGGGAAGAGACTTAGGTTCCTTAAAAACATCTGAAAATTCAGATAATAATCCTTGAACAGCTTCTGCAGAACCATTATTCCCCTGTACTTTCAAGCAATGAAGCCCTTCATCACCATTCTCCAATAAATGCAACACAAACATCTGTCCTCCAGCCTCTAAATCACCTTCATTCTTCTTAAATCAACAATCTTACATCTTGGTGGTTCTTGAGGCTACAAGCGACACTTTTTTCCATTATATTAGAAAGTCATGGACAAGTTGTCATAGTCTCATTAAGCTTGATGAATGGTTTTAAGCCAAAATAAACCCATAACCATATTATAGGTTTTGACTTCCAAAATTTGAAAATCTCCTTCAAACTCTTCACCTTGCATTCCCACTTAACTCCTTTTAAAACCCCAAAAACCTTCAATTTCCCACCACCTGCAACTTCAACTTTTGTATTAGGATGAGAATTTTCCTTCCAACCCAGTATCTTAGCCAAGACATAATCAATGCAGGCATGTGAAGCCCCATTATCAATGAGAATCTGAATCTGTCGCCTTCCAACATAGCCTTGAATTCTTATAGCCAAAGGACCAACACTTCCTTGAATTGCATGAAGGGAGATTTGAAGACATTTTGTGGCTTAGGAGCCAAAGGGGAAAAGAGAGAACACTCACTTTAATAAAAAAATTGTATTAGTCTTTCGTAATTCTGAATATAATGGAATGAAGGCTATTTATACTAGTCTCAAGTAGACAGGAAATTAATGCTAATGGAGAGGTTATGAAAGAACTTAATTCTAAATGGAGGGGGGTTACGGGATTTAAAAGTACTTAACAGTACTTATTGGGAGCTTATGGAAGTTACAAAAACTTATTATAATTTATGGATAGGAAGGTTATGGAGATAGTAGGGGTTATGGAGATGGAGCATCTAATTCTATCTCATTCTCTCCAGGTTGGACATGACTTGCCCTTGAGTCAAATTCGGCATCATCATCGAAATATAGAGATTGATGAACAACTTTGAATCGTAGAGACTCCACAAACACCAAGAAACTTTACTTTCTTTGGATAAGCTAATATGTTACTAACTGGATATGTCAGGCTGACAAGTTGCTAACACGATCGTCTTCAACATCTGTCAGACATGTGTGAATAATCTCCAGTCATGGGTTTTTGGACCTCCTGAGCACGACGGTAACATGTGTTTCACTTGAAATCGACCAAAAGCGGGTGTTCAACAGTGGCAGTAGCAAACTGACCTTTATAACCTCACTTTTCCAAGCCAAATTCATCTCCTTGTCTCTTAGTCACTCCCCATCGAACTTGGGATGCTGCTCTAATATCAAATTGGCTCAGGAGCCAAAGGGGAAAAGAGAGAACACTCTCACTTTAATAAAAAAATTGTATTATTCTTTCGTAATTTCGGATACAATGGAATGAAGGCTATTTATACTAGTCTCAAGTAGATAAGAAATTAATGCTAATGGAGGGGTTATAAAAGAACTTAATTCTAAATGGATGGGGGTTACGAGATTTAAAAGTACTTAACAGCACTTATTGGGAGCTTATGGAAGTTACAAACACTTATTATAATTTATGGATAGGAAAGTTATGGAGATAGTAGGGGTTATGGAAATGGAGCACCCAACTCTCATTCTGACTATTCTAGTATGCATTCAAACCTTTTAGGGACTTCAAAATCTTGACCTGTGTCATATCTTTACCTTCCTCTGCACCTTCTTCTAATTCAACAAGCTACGATTGCATTTTTTGTGCCTGGGCACATACATGGTCTCTAAAGAAGGGTTGACGGCAGTAAAAATACAGATTATTGGCTCTCAATTCCTTCGCTTCCTTGAGACTCAATGTTTTAAAGCTTATGGCATGGCTTTGTGTAGACCCAGTACTTGAAATCGAAGGAACAGAGGTGAAAGAACTGTTCTTTGGTGCGAAAGAATTAAAATTTGAGGATTGGACATTTTTACCCTTAAAAGCATGGACCCATAGTTGCTAGATGGAGTCCTCGCACTCTCCCACCTAGTTGACTCCCTCTGTATATGTGGATATTTCTCAAAGATGCTATCTTTCATCTGTGTCATCATATCTAGCCTATTGAACTAATGACTGCGTGAATCAGTGCCATGAGTTCTGACTTGCCTTTTGGTGATTTACCTTGTGCGTTTGTGTGATAGCCTGTGCATCGCTCAAAGTCCTTAGCTTAAACATGCGAACATGTGCTATGAACTCTAGGTTGAGACCTGCTATGTATGTCTACACCGGATAATCTTTAGAAAGCCTGACCTTGTAAGCAATTGCATTGAATTCGTCATCAAAGTTGTCTAAAGAACCCGTTTGGTGAAGGTTCTTCAAATCTTCCATCGGCACTTCAAATTGAGACCTAAATCTCATCTTTAGTGCTTCTACATACTCGAGCCTGGTCCATCATGTGTCCTCATCTGCCAAGACTACAGCTTGATGCCATTGGAAACCTTTTTCGTCTAGATGGATGTCGGATAAGGTAACCTTCCAATCCTCAGGTGTATTGTCAATTTGGAAGTAAAATTCACATTTCAAGATCCACCCCAAGATATTGTCTCTTTGAAATCGGGGAATTTCGTCTTGGTGAAGCATGAACGAGGTTGGTAGTTGTTTGCGTCTGGTCGGGGTCAATCATTGTGACGATTATTGCTTGCATTGCCTCCCTCAGGGGATTCATTGCAGTCTTTGATTATTTGGGCTACTTGATTGGTAAGGGCTTGTGCAGTAGTTGGGAGACTTTCCATCTTGGAAAAGGCATCCTTTAAGGCCTGTAGACGGTCATCGTTGTGATCTGCCATGGTTCTTTGTTGTTTCTGTAATTGAGTTTTTGGCATACAATCCGAGCATCAATGGCTCTGATACCATTGATGCATAGTGAAGAGAAAACAGTGAAGAATAGGGGGAGAGAGAGAGAGAGAGAAGAATTGAGGGATAGAGAAGAGATCCTGGATAATACTTGAGGGATTTTCACAAGCTTAAAGAGAATTAAGTACATCACAGCCCTTTATAGAGGATTAATCTAGTCAGACCCTTAGGTTAAAACAATTAACGTTTCTATCTTACTAACAACTAACGACTTATTCCTCTACTTATTATGGTTAAACATCATATTACTATCTTGTTAGTAATTAAGTTTAGCTCTCTGTTAGTTTCTGATGTGGTTATTTCTTTATGATTTATAAACCACCACAGGTGGCTTCCTTATTGGAAGAACACTTTCTGTTCTTTTAACCATCACATTGGGAACATCAATGGCTGCTCGTCAAGGTCCAGTAGCTATGGCTGCACATCAGATATGCATGCAAGTGTGGTTGGCTGTTTCCCTTCTTACTGATGCTTTGGCTACATCTGTTCAGGTATTGAGTTCTAAATCATGTAATGTTGAGGAGGTTTTCTTTCTCTTGTGGTATAATCTCTAGAATTTGTTTAATGCTGTTATACCACTAAGATATTTTCCAATTTAATAACTCAGTCAACAAAAGGCAGTTATAACTAAATACGGTTGAACTGCTGCTGTCATAGTTGATACTAGCATTTAGAAGACATCTTTCATAAAACCTCTTTTGAAAAATGGTTCAGTTTGCATATATGACACTGCACTTCACAATTCTTTAGTTATTTATACTTGGCTTTTACTCACATAATTATGAAAATATGCCTTAATTTACTTATGTGGCACATAGGCTCTTATTGCAAGTTCTGTATCTAGACGTGACTACAAGATTGTGAAGGAAATTACTCATTTTGCATTACGGGTAAGTCTTTTTCAAATTTTTTAGCCACTGTGATGATCTTTGGTCTTTAATACCTTTAATTTATTGGGTCTTTAAATATTTACTTTAGCTTATGTACCTACCTTTTCAGATTGGGCTGCTCGCAGGTTTCTGTTTGAGCGCCATTTTGGGTGCATTTTTTAGACCCTTAGCTACCTTTTTTACCAACGACGCTGAAGTCTTGCATGTCGTTGGGATGGGGGTGCTGGTATGTTTGATACGTCTTATTAATGAGTTCAGCTTTTCTTTGCCAGTCGCTGTGTGTTACTCAAACAGTACTTTTCATGATCATTTGTTATTGTGGTCAGTTTGTCAGTGCTTCTCAACCTTTTAATGCATTAGCATATATCTTTGATGGCCTTCATTATGGGGTCTCTGATTTCCCGTATGCAGCTTGTTCCATGGTAAGTTGGTTGCAATTTTTTTTTTTTTTTTGAGTTGGTTGCAATTTTTTTATTAGTGTAATGCTTGATGAATTTAATCTTCGTAGCAATATGCCTGTAGATGTTAGTGGGAGCAGTGTCCTCAGCAGTTTTGTTATTTGCACCTTCAATTATTGGCCTTCATGGTGTATGGCTGGGCTTGACTCTCCTTATGGCTCTTCGTACGGTGGCTGGTTTTGTCAGGTAAGGTGATACATGATGGTCAAACAAAATCGCCCTATCCATGGGGTGGAATGAGATATGCTACTAATAGCTTTGATTACTAAATGTAATGAACTTCTTGGTCTTTTTCTAACGTTATTATATTTTACATTTCAGATTACTATCAAAATCTGGTCCTTGGTGGTTTCTACACGATTTATGAATTGCCAAGGTCAGTAGACAATTCTATAATTGCTTTTGTGTCTGTTATTGATCGTTAACATGCATTATATTGATTTCGTCAGAATGTATGTATTCATCGTGGCTAGGACCTTACTATAATGCTAGCTTATTGTGTTTTGGATGATGACTGTAATTAGGGATTTGAATGACTACCTTGGTTTAGTGTTTTATTCTACTGACCTATAAGTACAATGTTGTATTTCAGATTAGAATTCACTAGTTACAGTTCCCACAAAGGGTTTTCCTTGGTCTCTTTGTCACTTCACATGGTATTAGCGCCTCTAATCATATATAGCCCGCAGCTTTTCTCAAAACATGTTCCTTTTTCGCTTCCTACTGTTACTCTTGCTAATGGGGTTAAATACACTTGTTAAAGGTATTGGTTAAGCTTGACCTCTTTTCATAACTGTTAGACCGTCCTTTACCTTTCTGGTTGTCCCTTTAATCTTGTTTTCCTAAGAAAAGTGATTCAAACTCTTGATCGCTCCACTGTTATTTGATAATTCTATTCTTGTACAGGATCAGGTACAGAGCACATGATTGGCATCAACTGAGTCACTGGGGGTCATCTTATTGTGCCGTCCTTTGTCATTTTTACTTCCACTGATTAGCTTGAAGTTCTTCACAATCATCTTGCTCATTTTAATCTCTCCAACCTTTAGAAGATGGTCCCTACTCTTCCCTCTTGCCTTCTTTATATTGTTAATCTTGTCAACTTCTTGGCACACATATTTGTGCATCTTTTCCAACTCATATTCATAATAGAACTAGGTTTTCTTTCTCTCCCGTATAATAATACTTTTCATGGTGTTCTACCTCGGGTTTTCTTTGTGTTGTCACCTCTTACCAACAATTATGCTCATTGCTTCTAGTTATTCCTCATGAAAGCTTGCTCCAAGTTGTTTGCTATTGTGTACAAGTATCTATGCGAAAAAAATTAAGGCGTGAGTGGAAAAGTTCCTTAAGATTTTCTTTTACCTCTGTTGAGTATTTGAACGTCTGAAGCAGTTGCCTTTTCCTCCTTTCAAGTTCTAAAGGGGAATGCTGATGAAGCGCGCGAATTGACAGTTGAAGAAGGCTGTATTCTTCAGATGCTAGATTTTGAAGCGAAATCAAGTTGGCCGTTTGACTTCCCGCTGTTATATTGATATTGTATAAATAGAAACACTTTCAACGTTCTATTTTTTATTTTTTTTTTGGATAAACATTAGGGCTTTTATGCTAACATATATAGGCTCATGTGCTGATATTAGTTCTGGTAGAAATCAGAGCTGAATATTTGGCTTAGCCATATCCAGATGCAGTAATTTAGGCCGGCTCAAATAAACTTAAAAGATCTTAAAATTGAGCTTGAGAGTTTAACATATTTTTTCATTCCAAGTTTATTTAAGCTATTTGAATAAACCCAAAGAAATATGAGTTAAATTTGAACTTGAATGAGCTTATATTGAATACTTGGTTTTTTCTTTATTTGTTAGCAAAATAATATAAAAATTGAAAATATTAATTTTTTTAAAATAAAAACTGAAATTAGATAAAAATAAAAAAGTAAATAAAATAATATCCAGTAATTTAAGTACTTGGGCCCGCTAGAAAACATGAGTGATAAGGGTTGGATTTGATTATATGAGTGTTTTTATATGTTTGAATATTTTAAATTTCATTTCAATAAATGAGAATTGGGACAACACTATCTGCTTGAATTATTGGCTCCGCATATCGTAGTGAAGTGCAAAATGCTTGTGTGCGCTTGCTTGTTGTTACAAGCTGGCGTGAGTATTGGATCAAGTGATACTTCATTCCTTATAAAGTTTATAAACAGACAGGATATAGTGGGCCAACAGCTGTCCATCCAGTGAAAAATCAAACTGGCTCGTTTGAAGTCAACTGAGTGAACAAAGAAAGAAAGAAAGAAAAGAAATGCGAAAGAGAAGAAAGGCGCGGGGGTTAAACACTTGGAAGACCTGGAAAAAAAGAAAAAGACATTCAACATAAGCTCAAAAAAAAAAAAAAAGGAAAAAAAGAAGAAGATGATCGAATGAGAACGATTGAATGCATCTTTGTAGGGAATTGTTGTCAAAAAAAATAGAAAGAGTTGCTTGCATCTTTGCACGGATAGAGATTGAAGGGAAGAGAATGGAATCAGGAAGAATAATCGAGAGGGCCATAAGGCAGAAAGAGATCAGCCAAGAATCCCTTCTTTCTTTTAGGGTTCCAGCCCATGTCCTTGCAGAGTTGGTCGTTATACCATATATGCAGGGCACCTATGCACGACCTCCGATAGTACTGCCCCGAGTATTCCTTCAGGTACTCTTCCCATTTCTTCACGTCCTTCTTCATTTCCCCAATGCTTGGCACTTTGAACGTCCCGTCCAGCAGCTCCGCCACCCACCTGCATCTCATCTCTGACGTATACAAGTTTGATACGCTTTCCGAGTATCCGATCACCGCCAGCTGTGGTATTTCCGGATGTATGCATTCTCTGTCCACACCATTCCAATAACCATTACTCTCTTTTCGTTTTCCCTTCATTTCCTTTACATCTCTTCTCTAATATATTGCACACATTCATTTATCAATGTTGCACAATATCTAAATTGTGTCGAATTGGACTCAGTTCGTAGACTAAAATAATAAATAAGACTGACTCGAATCTCGTAAAATGGCCTCACCTATAGAGAGGAACCGTTGCACTTGGAGAGCCTCCTATAAGCTCCTGGAAAGTGGGAGAAGCGAAGATATCTTTGAGTTTCTTGTCACCACTGAACCCGGTTGCTAATATTACCAGATCTGTCTTCAGAGGCGTAGTTTCTCCATCAACTAAAATTCCCTCTTCCCAGAAGCTAAAGCTCGGTGCTTTCTTCAAGACAATACTCCCCTCTTCCACCTTTTCATAGAATTTCTCGGGCATGGATGAGATCAAGCAAGAGTTTATCTCTTGATGAAAGCTATGATGCGGTACCATTCCAAACTTGTGCAATCCAAGCTTCCTCGTGATGTGGGTTTCAACGAATTTTGAGGACAGCCATCTCTGTTTATGGTTAAAAAAACAAAATTAATATTTTCGTTCTTGGAACTGCAGGATACTAATTATTATATCGATAATTTATGGGCATAACCAGGGGCGAAAGAAAAGTAGCTATGAGACTGAGTAGGAAGCTTTCGCCGGGCTTGTGAACTAGAAGTTCTGATAAGCGATTAAGGTACAGAAAGGCTAGAGGGAGTCCCCATGGAAGATAATCTGGAATGTTCCAGTGCTCTTTCCTGTATACAACTCTACATGGATGTCTTTTCCCTGCATATATATCATTCATTAATACTCAAACAATACCACAAATTCTAGGCATACAAGCATTAATTAGCTTTAAAAGGCCCTGGTCGAACGGTGAATAAGCAACTCCCCCACCGTTTACTGCTTGGCACTCCATTGCGATGTCCAGAGCAGATTTCTGGAATCCGACAACGGTGACTTGCTTCCCTTTGACATACTCGGATGCAGTTTGATAATCCATGGAGGCATAGTCCTTGGAGTGTATAACCTCCCCTCGGAACACGTCCGGGCCTTTATTTGGAGGGAACTCCGGAATGTTAGGAACATCACTGAATCTTCCGACGCACAGGATCACAAAATCCACAATGTATTCCTGCAGAAAGACAAGGGAAGATAAATGAAACTGTAGGTGTGAGAGAGAATAAGAATAATTAAAAAAGAGGAGCACGGAAAAAAGGAGTGCAGGGTATGGAGGTAGGCACCTCGGTGAAATCAGTGCGGGCGTTCTTCACTGAGAGTTTCCATTTTCCTTTGGAGCCGAAAGGGTGACCAGTGCCGCCCCAGAGGTGCCATGCTGCCGTCTCTTGCTGGGAAGGGCCTTGGTAGTGGAGGCGTTGGACGAGGGTGTTGAATTTGACGTGCTTAAGGAGGTCAAAGTGGTGGGCATAAGAAGTGATGTAATGGAGGACCTGACTGTGGTCGGGGAAATCTTGGACGACAGAAGAGGGCCATGGGAAATCGGAGAACTGATAGAGGGGTTTGGGAGTTTGGAGCTTGGTGGTGGCGATGGTTTTGGACCACACGCCTCCGATGCAGCTCTTGGCTTCGAACACCATGGGATGGAAGCCCTTCTGCAGTATGTATTTGCACGCAATCAGGCCACTGATACCTGCACCTACGATGCCCACCTGCCTCGTCTCCATCGCCATTCTCAATCTTCTTCTGTGCCTGCCTGGCTGCCTCCCCCACTTTCTATATAGCCAACAAGCACTCGCTTTTGTCAATATTGCGCCATTAAAAGTATGGAAGTAAGCCGCCTTACTTGAAGATATTTTTGGGGCCGAAAAACGCTGCATGCGAGATTTTATTTATTTATTTATTAACCAAGAACCCAAAAAAAAAAAAAAAAACCTTTTCTGAACTGTCATGATCTTCAAGAACCAGGATCCAAATGTTGTGTATCCTCCTTTAAGGGGGAACGGGGAAAGTTAGGAGAGAAGATAATGAGTACTTTGAACTTTAAAATATTACGTAAAAAGTATTCTAGATTTTAAATTTATAAAATATTTAAAATATACTCTAAAATTTTAAATTTAAAATAAATTACACTCTATTGTTAATTTATAAATAATGTCATTAATTGTTAATTTTGTGGGGTCCAGTCAAATGTTGATGTGGCAGTTTCTTATTGATGTGTCATTGTTTAATGAGCACCATAACTTTAAATTATTGTGCGAGTAGCATTCTGAATCTTAAACTTTTAAAATGTGTGAAAAATTCTTAAACTTTAAAATTCAAAACAAATTATCCCCACTGTTTATGAGTAGGACGTTGATTGTTATGTAAACTAAATTAGCCTTATCATGATCTATCATAGTGAACGCATTGTTGGCTGGGGCATGCAATCGATAATGTTAGGAAATGATGTTTTTTGCCCCTTTTTTTTGGCAATGTTTTTTAAATGATTTGTATCTCATGCTTTCATATATTTTATAACTTTGATTTAGTTTTATTTTAAAAAGTGTTTACTTATTTAATGATGAAAACTTGGGATTCCATTTGAAAAGAAGTTTAAGTATCAAAGGATTTTAATTAACTTGTTAATTTGGGTTTGAAATGGGAGATTTTACAAACAATGGCTATAAAAGTAGATGATTTTATCAATAGATTCAATCAGCAACTAAGGCTACAAAGACTGAATTCTTTCATGCATTATAAAGAGATGCTCAAAGCCAACTAAGAGAGATGCGATCAATGTTTCCTTGAATCCCCCGACTGATAGATTGAGTAAAGGAAGAGAGATGAGGGCACTGTTAATATGCGAGGAGGGATGATACATAATTGAAATGGTAGGGGTAATTTACTCTGAAGATGCTCAAATCCAACTAAGAGAGATGTGATCAATGTTTCCTTAAATCCCTCGACTGATAGATTGAGTAAAGGAAGAGAGATGAGGGCACTGTTAATATGTGAGGAGGGATGATACATAATTGAAATGGTAGGGGTAATTTACTCTGAATTTCAAAGTTAGGAGAAATTTTTACATATTTTAGGAGTTTAAGGTCTTGAATGCTACTTGTGTAATACTTTATGATTTGTGGTACTCATTAACAGATGACACATCTATAAGGGACTGCCACATCAGCATTTGACTGGACCTCACAAAATTAATAGGTAGCGATGTTATCTATAAGTTAACAGTGGGGTGTAATTTGCTCTGTATTAGGAGTTTTGGATTTATTTTGCACATTTTAGGAGTTCAAAGTTCATGGTGCTTTTCGCATAATACTTTAGGGTCCATAATGCTCATTAACCCTTATTTTTTAAGGTGACATGACTATAAGAACTATCATATATAATTCTGGTATTCCATTGAAGATAAGAGTACTAGAGTTGCGTTGCCATGTTAAAATTGACGATCTAAATTGAAATTCTTTCACATTTCGATGTTTCTCAAGTTTGATTGTGAGAAATTAAATACAAAAAATATTGTTGATATTGATTTAATTTTTACAAGGCTTTACAATGGTATATATACAAAATATCACTACATAGAACAATAAATACTAATAACTTCTAACTACTAACCATTACATAGAACAATAAATGCTAGTATCTTTTAATCAATGTTTCAAAACCAAATTGGACATTGAACCAAAAATGCTAACAGTTCACAATATGTATAGTTCAGTCAATTGGACCTATGGTTGAACCAATGACATAGTAGTTAAATTAAAAAATTATTTATATACAATACTATAAATATAAGAAATAACTATAAAATTGCTACATAACTTGAAAATAAAGCTAAATATTTCAAGTTAATTATGAACTAATAAGTCTCATGACACAACATAACATCAAATGATTCAATATTAATGCTCACAATAGATATCCCTATATTAATTTAGAATTTTTTGACCTAAATATTTATTCAAATTAAGACATATAAAAGAAGGATTTATCAAAAAAGGTGTCCTAAAAAAAAGAAAATGAAAGTATTATTTTGATATAGGGTTAAAATTAGAAAAAAAATGCACAAACCAAGTCTATTTTCACCTTCTCAAAGTATCTAAAATGTCAGGGAGGTTTTTTTAGGGTTAAAATTAGTAAAAAGTGAAAAAAAATTAAGCAATCCAGTTTTCACAAAATTGCTCTGGTTCGCAGTTTTTTAATGGTTCTTGATCTAACTACTAGTTCAAAGCAGCCCAATCTAGTTCAAAAGATAAAATGATTTTGTGGTTCAAACTGAGCTAAAACAAGTGTCAGTTGGTAGTCTAACCTATCGGACTGTCCAATCTGGTTCGATTTTGAAATTGTTACTTACCAACTAATACCCACTATAAAACTAAGTATATAATATATACCTATTATATACATATTTCAACACTCCCCCTCAAGCTGAAGAGTAGATATTATCCATTCCCAGCTTGGACGTTAATATATGAAAATGTTCACTCAATAATCCCTTTATAAGTACATTTTTTGATTGATCACCAAAAGGGATGTAGGGGGTCTAAATAAGACCACTCTCCAACTTCTCTTTGATAAAGGGTCAATCAATTTTAACATGCTTTGTCCTATCATGTTGTATAGGATTAAGAGCACTGTTGATAGTAGATTTGTTATCACTATAAAGCTTTGAACCTAGATAGCCTGATGTAGACCTTCTATCATCTATATTGCCATCATGATTTGCATTAGTGTATGCTTCAATGGTTCGTTTTCTCCTCCTCTTTAAACAAAATGCCTTTTCCCGGAGTACCCTTTAAGTACTCAAGTATTCAATAAACAACATGAAGATGAGACTCTTTAAGATCATACATAACTTAACACACCACACTTACTTCATAGGCAATGTCAAGTCAAGTATGAGTTAGATAGATCAATTTTCCAATAAGCTTTTGGTAGGATTCCTTATTAATAGGAGGCATTGGAAGAGATGGTTTGCTAGGCTTTTAATTATTCTTTAGTTTGTGAGGATGCTTTCCTTCCTTATAAAGTCTATGATTTTATTCAATTGGAATGTCCATAATTTTGCACTCTAGCTTTCCTATTTTAGTGAGAGGGTTAAGAACATACTTTTATTAGGATATGAAGATGCCACGCTTCGAATGAGCAACTTCAATGCTTGAAAAATATTTTAATCTTCCTAAATCCTTCATTTGGAATTCTTTCATCAATTAACTTCACAGAGATCGAATTCCTTCCAAATCATTCCCTGTTACTATAATATCGTCAACATAAACAAGTAAAACTGTTACTCCCTTAAACCAAAATGTTTGGTAAACAAAGAATGATCACCTTAACTCTATTTGAACCCCATGCCAATTATGGCTTTGGAAAACCTTCCAAACCATGCTCTTGGTGATTGTTTTAATCTATAAAGAGCCTTTTTAAGCTTGTAAAATGTATTAAGAGGAAGATGTGAATCAAATCCAAGAGGAACCTCCATATACATTTCCTCCTTTAAATCACCATGTAAGAAAGCATTATTTACATTAAATTGTAGTATTTCCCAATCATGAGTAGCAGCTAAAGATAATAAAATATGAAAAGTATTCATCTTTGCAATAGGAGCAAAAGTTTCTTCATAATCAACTTTGTAAGTTTAAGTATACCTTTTACAACAAGCTGAGCCTTATACTTGTCTAAGGAGCCATTAAAGTTGTATTTTAGAGCAAACACCCATTTACACTTAATAAGCTTCTTTCCCTTAAGTAATTGAACAAGATCCCATGTATTGTTGTTCTCAAGTGCTAACATCATAACTTTCATAGCCTTAACCCATTTTTCATCTACTAATACTTCCCATAAGGATTATGGTATTGAAATGGGATTAGGACTAGCGAGGAAAGCTTTGTGATTGCAAGGAAACTTATCATGATAAAGAAACAAAGACATTGTGTATAGTGATCATTTGGTACAACACCTAGATCCTTCTCTCAAAGCAATGTGAATATCAGACTCAAGTAATTTAGAATTATTAATAGCAACATCTTGATTGTTAGAAACATCAAGGCAATTTGAAGTAATTTTAGTGTTTTCAAGAGAATTAGGAGTTACCTCTCAATTTCTAGGTATAGGTTTTGAAACTTGAGTAGGAGATGGTTTGAAATATTCTTACTCCACTAAATACAGTTAACAAATAAAACTCATGATAATCAAAGAATTAACCCAAAGAGTGATTACCAAGGTTTAATTAAAAAGCAAGGGATTTCAGGTTTTCTAAATAATAATGAGTTTAAATCAATCAAAATCCTTCATATCAGAGTAAAATAAGTTTTGAAAGCATGTGATACCTCAGAGGGGTGAAAAAAGTCAAAAATGGTTGAAAAATATAACATGTGCTGTGACACAGAGTAATGCGCTGCAACTCGTACACGCTGGATTGTAGCGTGATGTTCTCTGTGCCATGCACCATGGCTTAAGCGTCATGTGCCGTGACATGTTGCACAAAAATTCAACTGATTCTGCTATCATTTGGTAACAGAATTGGGGGAACTTCTAACACACCCTGATTCTCTATTCGACATCCGAATGATGTGACTTATATGTCTACGAAATGCTCTTTACATAAACTAGCTAATGGCACAGGTTTCACTTCCACAACAAGTCACACCGAGAAGTTGAACACCCATACTATTTTAACCACTTTTCCTAACTTTAACACAAAATGGGTGTCCAAAACCCTGAACATGTGCCAAATGTCTTTCCTAACACCTGGACTATGTCTAATAGACCTAGGACTACTAGTATAACACGTCACAAGTACTAAAATAACAGTATAACAA